GGGATTTGGGAGGAGGTAGGAAGCCGATGACAATGAGTACAAGAAAGAAGCAAATGTTCTAAAGTGGTTTGTACAGCTCTTTTTAATGTGGTGGAACAAGTGAATTGTATGTTATGTGAAGTGTATGCTAAGAAAGTGTTTAAAAAATTCATCATCTTAAGAGACCAGCCTGATTGGTCAGATAGAGACTGGTGGAACTCCCAAAACTATGACCCCTAGACATCTTTCTGTTCCAGAACTGAACTCACTGCCAGGCTTTAATTTTCCGTCAAACAGTAGCTAGATCTATAAGAGGGACAATAATACACCTTAGAATAATCAATCATTTGAGATTAAAAAAGGACAGCATTTACACAAGGACAAAATTCAGATGGGTTAAGGAAGTAGAATGGAAACAAGAAACACAAGGAAGAGGTGGGGTAAATGATGTTACACTGTGGGCATTGGAATCAATTACATGAAACAATCGTAGGAATTATTGAAAGAAAAGTTGATTTGTTCTGTAAACCTTCACCTAATATATCATACAAAGGCAAAAATCTATATCTGTAATATGTTGGAGACAACCTATATCATATAACATTAAAAATAGCTCATAAAGTTATATTAAGATAGATAATCAGACTAAAATATATATATAAGACTAGGAAGGACCTGAAAGGAGCTACACAACTAATAGTAATTATCTTTGGGTTATGAGTTAATAGGTAATTAAAAGTTTTCTCTGTTTAAAAAAATTTTTTTTTCTGCACTTTAATTTTTTTCTACGATGAGTGAGGATGACTTTTAAAATCAGAAAGGTGTGATGCTATTTAAAGAAGCAAATGGGCATGTCGTGCCTTAAAAGAAAAGTCTTTAACTCAGGATATGACTGTCTCTGCTTACGCTTCCTCTACTTACGGTTGTGTCTTTCTGCCCCAACACCAGGTGCTGATGGGCGTGCCCTATGGAACTATACCCCGGAAGACAGTGCCTCGAGCTGAGGAAGACAAAGCCATGGACTTCTCAGTCCTCTGGGATTTCGAGGTACTATTCCCACCATGAGACTGCATGCACCTCCATTTTTGTGATTGTTAAAGCCTAACGATTATCTGGAGAAGTGTGTGAAATTGCCTTGAATCTTGAAAAGCCAATGGTTTAATCAAAGAGAATCTCAGCACTATGCAAAACGAGCTGCCAAACCATGTCCCTAACAGCCCTTCTGGACCAGTTTAGTAGGTTCCTCTCTCCAGCCCCGCTCTGATGGATGGGAGTTCCCTCATTTAACACCTCTGTGTAAAATAGTCTTATTATATGGTTTTATCTCCCACACTCACATCCAGACCCACAACTTCCACTCCAGCCTTGCCCTGCCTTCACCTGCCATCTTGCACTGAACATCTCACTTGTTAAACAAATTCAACATCTAGCCACCAATATCCACTTCCCTTTTCTCCCTTTCTGCTTGATTGGCACCACCATTCATGGAATAATCAAAATCTGAGTGTCATCTTACACTTCTCACCAACTTCTTCACCAACACATCCCCCACCACATCTGATCAATCACTAAATCTGAACTGAACTACCAGATTCTTGAATCTGTCCCCCTTTCTCTATCCCTCTTACCTCTGTTTCACCTTTCTTTTGTTTAACCTGTTACCTGCTGTCCCCAAACTGCTCACCGCCATCTAACTTTACTCCTGCCTTTTGCGGGTCCTAACACCCCCAGTCCTTCCACTGCAGGAGATCCATCTAGAATGCAAATCTGACGCTGCCACTCCCCCACCTGCTATGCTCCCTGACTTAGTTAATTGTGTCAACCTGGCCAATAATCACATGTGGGGCTGGTTGAAAGGCACAGGGATAAATGGGTGGTGAGCCTCGCCTTTCTAGTTCTCCGGTCTCTTGCTTTGTGATGGTCGCACCAGGGTGCAGCTGCCTTAGCGGTTCCCTGCTTCAGCTTGCAAGATTGACTTCCTACAAGACATCCCCAAGGAGAAGCCACATGGGCCTATCCTGATGCAGCCCTGGGTGCTGGAGCAGCCGTGTGGAGACCCCTGCTAGTGCTGAGATGTTTATTCGTTCACTGACTCAGCTTTCCTCCTGCAGTCGGCATCATTGCCTCTGTTTTGTGAGGTGGAGGACTTTGTGGACTGGTGTTGCGTTAATGGGTTAATGTTGGACTTGGGCAGCATTGGGTTGGGATGTTTTTGTGATGCACATTTTCTTTACATAAACTCTCTTATCCATGAGTTGCTGTGGATTTGTTTCTCCAAAGTAACCAGGCTAATATACTCCCTGACTCCCTGCTACCCAATGGGATGAAAATCAGGATCTGGCTGCTACCTCCCTCGCTGGTCTCCCTCTAATTGATCCCACTGAATGCTCAGTTCCATTAAGTTTCGGGGAGTCCTCTGAATGCATCGCACTCTTCTATGCCTCTCTGCCTTTTGCTCTCGGTCCTGTGCCTGCAGTGTCATTGTTGTTGTCATCGACTCAAATCTGACTCATGGCAATTCCAAATGCCAGGAACTGCGCCATAGGTTTCCAAGCTGTGGCCTTTCAGAAACAAATCGCCACGCTGTCTCCCAGGCACTGCTCAAGTGGGTCCAAACCACCATTTTTCTCACTTAGTCCTTGCGCACTTAGCCGCTGCACTAGCTGGGGGCTTCCTCTGCCAGGGACATCCACTTCCTTTTTTGGATCATCATACTCACATGCCTCTGGGAATCTGATTCTGCTGCTCTAGGGAAGCCGCCGTCCTCCTCCCATCTCGGAGATAGATTTGAAATCTCTCAGAAATGGGTGAAAGCATGTTGGAGCATTTCCCCAAGTTGTTTAGGACAGTGATGTCCAACTGTACCACTACTAAGACGCTCCTTTCGTCTTTATTTCACCCAAGGGCTCCAACTGAAGCATTCTATCGACCAAAAACAAAAAGATTTTTCTCAACAATATTTTCCTATTTTATACAGGCAAGGAGATGCCAAAACCCCAAATTAATATAACTATATACAAATAATTGCCCCTAAAAGGTGTACCTAATTACCCCTAAACCTAAGTATACCTAACCAGGGGACCTTAAACTTTTTAAACAAGGGACCAGTTCACTGTCTCTCAGACCCATTGGTGGGCCGGACTATAGTTAAAAAAAAAAAACCAACTATGAACAAATCCCTATGCACACTGCACATATCTTATTTTGAAGTAAAAAAACAAACGGGGCAAAAACACCCGGCGGGCCGGATAAATGTCCTCAGTGGGCTGCGTGTGGCCTGTGGGCCATAGTTTGAAGACCCCTGAAAACCAACTTTAAAGTTGGTTTAGACTCTGAGGTTCATCATGTATAATGTTCTTTAGAAGCTTGGATATGTTGGGAACGCTCACCTGGCTGTGGGGTGAAAGAATCTGAACCTATGTGCACGTTTTATCTCCACTATCAACCACACTCTCCTCTTTCCACTATATCTGTATATTCCTTATGGTGGGGGGGAATCAAAAGAAATAGAGGGAGACATAAATGAACTTTGGAGAAACTAGGATAAGCCAGGGAGCAAAGAGGTGGGGGTGGGTCAAGGACACCCAGACCCCTTTCTTCGCCCTGGCCCCCCTGAGATTCCCATTAGAACCCTGGCAAAGCAGTGCCTGACTGATGACAGTCCTTGCTGAGCTTACAGATCTAACTCCTGTGGCTTTGCTGTCACCCAGGGCTACATCAAGTACTCTGCTCTCTTCTATGGCTACTACAATGACCAGAGGACCATCGGGTGGCTGAGGTACCGGTTGCCAATGGCTTACTTTATGGTGGGGGTCAGCGTTTTCGGCTACAGCCTGATGATTGTCATTAGATCGTAAGTATGACTATTCAGGCGTTTGCTTTTCTTCACACCAGCAGACCACTAGCCAGGCTACTCTTCTACTGTTTCCCTTCTTGGAGTGGGC